GTTGAATAACTGAGGCAAGCAAAAGTCATAAAAAAAAAGTTAAAAGAAGAGATGGTGCAAAAGACAAGAGACACTAATAAATAAACTCAGAAGCAGGAGAACATGAAAAGTGGGAGAAGAGCCAGTCATGAGAATGACCAGAATAAGGAGGCAGAGAGGATGGAAGGAGAAGAGGCAAAAGACATTCGTGGATGGAAAAGTGATGGAAGGGAGGACCCGGGTGAACTTAAATACCAAGGCTCCTCTCTGAGTTTTCTTTTCTATTTTTAAGAACAACAAAGGACAAAGTCCCAGAAGTAATAACGTATCTGAAACTGCCAGTGTTAACCATGATTTAGAATTACGTTCAGGAATGATGTAGACTCCATGATACATGGTCCAGCAACTTTGGCATCACCTGGGAAATTGTTAGAAATGCAGAATCTTGGGTACCACCCCAGACCCACTGATTCAGAATGTACAGTTTAACAAGATCCCCAGGTGATTCCTATTTACAATAAAGTTTGAGACGGGCTGATATTGACATCTGAAATCTACAGATAACCTGCCCATCTCACTCTATTCAGTGGTGTGGTGCACAAAGCCTTCGCCCTAAGCAGCTTCACCACTTTAAACAAATCGCTTAATGTCCCCGGATCTTAGTTTCATCATCTATTAAATGAGAAGGTCAGAGGAGATGCTTTCTCAAGTGTCATAGATCTCTGATGTTCTTGATCTCATCTAACATCAGAACTCCAAACCATTCCTGCACCCATGAGAACAAACAACAAAGAGCATCACTCACTAGTGAGAATTTCAGTTCTTCTCTCCATTCATTCATTTAATACTCTCCCAAGTACCCATTACGTGCCAGTCACTGTGTTAAGTACAAATGATTCTAAGATGAATAAACATCCCTCCCCGCCCTCAAGGGCTTCACCAACTTCTTAGGGAAACAGGGCATATAAACAAAACTAGGATAAAGTATACAAATAATCATGAACAAGCATGGGTGATCCACAGAAGGCAGAGCGATCCCTCTGCCTGGGGCAGTCACAGAGGATTTCACTGAGGGATTGACATATGCACTCAGTCCCCTCTCTCCCAACCTCAGCTGAAAGCACTGGAAAGTGAAAAGACAAAAATAAGGTGGTTGGAGAGCATTGAGGAACCAACCACAAGGTCCTGAACACACCTCTCTGGGTTCACAAAACCCCAAGAGCTCATCCACACCACGGATTTTGTGTGATGGCTACAGACACACCGTTAACAGCCACAGGTGCATCCTAGAAGCCGCCTCCCCTGAGTTACGTCAGCTCCTTCACCCTGACGACATTCTGTTCTATCTTCTGCATCCTTCTGAAAGATAATACCAATTCAACCACTAATCTACTCTCCCTGGAGACTCCTTCTTGTGGTTGCAAAGAGGAGATGCACTTTAATAAATGTGAACAATTCATTAGACCAGTAACTCTTTTGATCCATATTTATTCACAGAGAGAGACCACACTAGGATCCGATTATATGCATAGTAGCAGAGACTGAAAATGTAGTTTACTGAAAGGAAGAAATTTCTAGAATTCTTAAGGAAGGTACAGAATGGTAGCGAGGAAAAGGAGCTTATCCACTCCCGACCCCTACAAGTTACGCGAGATGCGTTGTTTTGTCAGTCCTGGTCTTCGTCATTAAGGAGAGAAGGCTGTCGCTCGGAATGATAGTTTCCCAACCTCTAGAATGGTGAGTTCTACCCTGGCTCCTGCAGGCTGATTTTTGGGCTCTGGTTTCTTCACACATAACCTGTCCTTTCCCCTGCCTCCTTCTATATTTCATAGTCAATAAATATTAACTAAATTTTTGCTTTAACCTGTCAGTACCAGTGGACATGTCACCTCCATTTTCAGATTCTTAAACAGTTAGGAAATGGGAAAAGGCAAACCCTGCATCCTGAGTTCATCATATTCATGGAGGAGATGGAACATGTTTTACGAGATGATGATGACAGGGCCAAGGGCTGGCTCAGCTCAGTCCTGTTTCTCCCTGTGAAGCACCACTCATCCCATCAACCAATTTTTGTCCACAGGTCCAGCCCCCTGGTGCCCGTTGCCCCTCCTCACACAAGGCTGGGTACATGGATGTGAAGGTCAAGGGAGACGGTCTAAGTTCTGAAGCCCTCCTTCTGGAAGTGAAGCAGGAATACAAAATCAAGGTACCTGCTGTTCATCACTTCACCAGAGGAAGTCTCTCTTCTCGCTCAGCCTAAAAGAAAGGAACTGGGTGTGCAAAGTAGTGACTAGAGGAATTTCTTCTCTTCCTCCTCCTTTGCTGTCATTTTGCCTCCTTACTTATTCCCTTTGGCTCTATCTACCCCTTGATAAATTACACACATGCAGTGGCAAAACAAGACTCTTCAGACAGACAGGCTTCCCAGGGGTGGAACCAATGGAGAGAAGAACCTAGACCGTCCAGGGCACACCCTGCTCCTCTTCTTGCATTCAACATCTATCTCTAAGCTGCCAGACTGTTCTGTGTTCACAGATCCATCATGCTTTGCCACACCTGAAACACAGGCAGAGAAGACATCATGTTGTTCTGCTTCCCTTGAAATCACCAACCTAACATCCAGAACCGTGCTTTCCTGGGAAGTCTTTATTTCCTATTAATTTTTTTTTCTTAATTGCACATCACAGAGGTGCCTCGATTGGAATTAAATGTGCTCTTCCTCCCACCAGCGCCACACTGCTTTCCCAGGTAACACGCACCGAAGAGGGGAGGCAGGAGGGGAGAAGACCAAATAGAACCCAGTCAGCTCTTTGTGCTGTGAGGAAAAAGAGGGAAGAGAACAATGGCCCCGAGGCAGCCCAGAGCACCACTGAGTCACCGCATCACAGCATCTGCTCACGAGGATGGGGACACCTGCCTCCTCCCAGGGTCCCCCAAATGGCTCTGGATTTGGAAAAGGCGCAGGCCACCTGCGGCAATTCCTTCTTGAATCCCAATGAGCCCTTTCCAGACAGATTCCATTCTTTCCTTTGTAGCTTTCCACCACGTAGTCCTCCTCTTCCTCCCCTTTCAGGGTCTTGTCCTTTGCCAGACCTTAGGACCGACTAATGATGGCCTGGAACCTGGCTTAACCCCTTTAGCATTTAAGGCGAATGGGGCTAAGACTCTGTCGAAAGGCCTCCTGGTAACCACGTCACAACCAACATGACGAAGGTCCTACTTGGTGGAGAGCACCGTCGTGGCACCAGGAACGCAAGAGGGGCAGTGCCCTTTGAGACCCACCTTGCCTGGCACATCTTACCTATGGAACCATCACACAGGAAGCTGCTTTTTTCATCCATACCTCTGTTCTATTTTGAAGTAAAATTAAGAGTTCATCCTCCCACTTGAAGGAGTAGAAGCAGATGGGGAACCAGCTCAGGTGTCTCTAAGGTGAGCACACACTGGATAACCTCAGCTATTTGTAGACATGGTGAGAACATGGCTCAAAGTGGGATCCCAACCTGTCACTCTGATGACACCATGCTTACAGAGGAGTGTTTAAGCATCAAACGCTCAGAAGAATCAAAACTGGGGGAGGGGAACAGAGAATCGGATTATATCCACCTTTTATGGACGATGAAGAACTATCTTCTACCATGATGTTGAATGACAAGGACCTTCCATTACTTTCCCCACATCCCTTTAGGATTTTGGATTGTTTCAAAGTATTATTTTAAAACACTGGAAAAAAAGATTTGGAGGGAGAATACTTTCAGGAAGAACAAGGATGCTAATGATTCTACTACATTCTTTTGAAGATCTTTATCTCAACCTGATTCCTGCACTTGGGTGCCTCCAGAGTTTGGAGACATATGGTCAGTGACCCAGGGAGAGGAGTAGCCAGCTCACCACCTCAGCCCTCCAGCCCCCGGCGATCTGATTTCCCAGGACTTGTCTTGGACTGCATGAGTGGCTAGCTGAAGAGCCATTAGCTAAGTCTTTTCCATTTCTCCAGCTATTTCTCTCTTCAAGTACATGAAAATACTGCTGATCCCCATTTCACATGTTGTAGAAATTGATGAGAGGGAGAAAAATGTAAGTATTAATTCTCTTTGGAGGGTACGAGGCTAACACATGCGAACGGCAAGTCCCTTTGTTTAACACAAAGACTCACGTGTCGAATTCTGCACCCCTTCCACACGCACAGCATTTTAGAACTCTGCAAGATAGCCATTTTGCAAGAGTGTGGAAGTAACAGTTTGCTTGGAGGATGTGTGGGTATAAATAGATGTGTAGACAGAAGGAGAAATTTATAGCTTAAATATAATAGCACACCAAAAAAAATTAAAAAGCAGAATATTGACAGAATTCCTTCTTTTCAAGCTTAAGGTTGAAGTCCTCTTAACCTGCAGCATCCTTCGGTTCAGGTGTTCTTAGACCAGCCGGATCCCCCACCTAGACCTGTCCCTCTGCAGTAGGCCTCCCGGGATCTCCGGGCCCAGTGTCAGCCCTTTAGACAGCAAGTGGACTTCGGGGCAACAACCACAGGCATCTCACTCATTATTTTATTTTCTAAAGGGCATAAAAAGGATGCCTAGGAAGGTAGACCCAGGAGCCAGAGAGGCATGGAAGTGGCAAGGGGGAAAAGCAAGCCTAGAAAAAAGAAAAAAAATTCGAGATCCCCATAAAAATTAGAGCTTTAGCCTGGGGTGAATAAATTGCTATTTAACTGGAAAAATCACACAGGTCTCCCAGCTGTGCCTGCATGCATATAACCCCCATGCCATCCAACACCTTCTGTCCCTACACACATCCACCCACGCTACCTCCAAAAAGCCCAAAACCTGTTTGATGAGGAAGGAAAAGAAATAACATGGGTGATTTCCCCTCTTTGTAACAAGCCTTTTCCCCCAAACAGCATTATTTGAATATCTTGATACCTTTTCTTCTCCAAAAATCCACTTCAAGGACTTGGAGAGAGAGATTAATAAGGAATCCCTACCCCAGGTGAGAAGAAAAGGAAACCAAATTTGCCCTACCTTGGTTTGTAGCAGCCAAACCTCTAGACGGACAGATTAAGGGAGTAAGCATGTTGGGAATGTCCAGGCGTCTCTTCTCGCTTGCATATCCACATAAGAAAGACGAAGGATAAATAAAAGGAAGATCATTTAAAATCCAATTTAGCGTGAATTTTGTTTTAATCTTGTGTCTTGAAGAGATGCAAATTCAAAGAAAAAAAATGGAATTCAAAGGTAATGCAGGCTATGGAGAGCAGCTCACAATGCAGAATCCAGAGTGATTATTCCGTTTGCATGTGAGGTTAGTGGCTGGACTATTTTTTTTTAATGATTCTTCTGGCAATTACGGTTTTTGATTTTTGGAGCTTTAGTGGAGGAGGCTCTGTGTAGAGAAGCTGGGGGCCGGCTCTGTCCCTCCGTGGAGCATGGTCATTCCCAAATCGTCCCCTTCCTAAGGGGAAAAAGAGGCGGTCAGGGTTTGATTCGAGTGTCCCCCAGAGGGTGAGAAAAATGCATTCCGAAAAAGATATCAATTCGTTTTAAGGAAAAGGGGGAGGAAACCCTGCATTTCCCTCAGAGTGCACACGAGAGGAATTGAAAACAGCTGGCACCGATCTATAAATAATTCAGAAAAGGTCTGGCTATACCATTCCTGGGACAGGCATGGATGCGAGGTGGGAAAGCCAACCTGAATGGAAGAGGAGAGAGGGAGGGAAGGAGCGAAGGAGGGAAGTGGGAAGGAAGAAGGGAGGGAGGGAGAAGCGGCACCATGGAGCAACACACACTCACACACACGCAGAAACACAATCCCCACTTAACTCGCCAGCAAGTGCGGCCCCCAGCCCCATCTGCAGTGCTGCTGACATGTCTGCCTCGCTCTCCCCATCGCCTCCAGCAGCAGCGCCCTCCTCCCACCCCGGGCTCGTGCTGAATGGGTTCTGATTGTGCACCGGGTGCACACTGGGCATTCCTTGGAAGGGGCACACTGACACGCGCGCACACACACACACGCCCCCGGCGCGCACGCGCCCCCGCGCGCGCACTCACACTCACCCCCGCGCACACTCACGCCGCTGCCGCGCTGATGTGCAGCGCACGGGGCTTCACCTGCAACGTGTCGATTGGACGGATGGTCGCGGCGCGTGGCTCCTGCCCAGGGCACCGATGCCCAGCCTCTCTGCTCGGTAAGGGGACTAACCCCCCAAAAAATAAGACCAGAGAGAGCCCTACCCCTTCACCCTGAAAAATCTTTTTTTAAAAGCCAGGTCCAAATGAGCAAGTGCCGGGTTCTGCCGGCTTTAAGAGCTTTACCTAATACCAGGCTGGTCAACGGCTCCACTGCTTCGACCCTTTATCTTCCCGACACCCCCAAACCCCAAAATTGAGACAAGAGATTCCAAAGCGAGTATTTACGTACCGGCTCGGAGCGCCTCGGCGATTGCAGGGTCTCCGGAGAGGGGTGGCCGTTGGCCGCGGATTGAGGGTTTTCCTTTCCTGCAGAGCAGGATTAATAATCCGTCTCGGAGGGTTTTGAAGTTCACGACTCTTCTTTGCAAAGCAAAGGAAAATGCATTCGGACGCCAGGACTTCTGGGTTGTGGGGCTCAAAAATCACCCACACGAACACTTTCGATAGAGCAAAGCCCCGAGATTTCCTAGAGGTGAAGAAGCCGAAGGAAGTGGTTTTTCAAAGGGGGTGGGGGACCTGCCTTTCTCAAAAAAGGTGGGGGGTGGAGAGGCAGGAGCCCAGATTCCAGTTGGTGATGATGGGAGCCGGGGGAGGGGAAGCGGGCGGGGGCAGGCGGTGCAAGTCAACCGCGCGGCAGCGGGAAAGGAAGAGGAGGAGGGGGAGAAGGGGAGAGTAAGGAAAAGGGGGATTAATCACCGGGGACGGGGGCAGGGCGGGAGATCACAGGTTGCCTGGTCTGGGTTTGGGTCTCACACCCAAAAACGTGCCACACACACACACACACACCTCTACCTCTCACACACTGCTCTAGTGGGAGGAGGAACCCATGAAGCTAGGGAAGATGTCCCTGCTTCCAGGGTGTGTGTGCTCGCCTGTCCTTTTTTTCACACCCCCTACCCCACCCCACCCCCAAACCCCCTCACCCCCTCACTCCTATTGCTAAGACTCTGGCGGAGGCAGCTTCCCACGTCATATGCTGGGGGAAGTGGGGTGGGAAGGGGGAAAAGGCTTAACCCGAGTCCGTGGCGCCTCCTGCTGGCCTCGGTGGGAAACAGCAACGAGGAAGGACGGCCGAGGGGTGTGGGGAGCGAGACAGTGCCCCCGGTGGGCGGCCGCGCTCCGCTGCGGAAAGCATCTCAAAGGCGGAGCTTCGGTTTGAAATTTAAGACCCTTGCTTGATTTTGCATAAATCAGCCTTTGCTTCGTAAGTGCACCCCGTGTGCTGGACGTAGTTTAAAGCCGGGTTCTTGCCTTCAAGGAGCTTAAGATCTATTTTGACGCGAGTTTGACGCGTAAAACAATGGGAAACAAAGCAAGGCAAATATAATCAAGTGTTAAATTGTATAGCGGATTATATGTGTGCTTTGCTGACTGCTAGTGAAGGTCTGAGGAATGCGGAATTTTTTATTAAGGTAGATCCTGTTACTTAAAGACCTTGAGAGAAGATGATGAGAGGTGAATAATCCCTAAATAAAACTAGATTTCATGGCATTTACAAACCCACCCTCTTCTAAAAGACAAACATCCATTCATTTCCCTCCCTCTTAAGCTGCCTTCTATTTCAACAGTACTTCTCACCACCTGTAGTATTGTTTATTTTTAATATTAATATCATTGTGTATGTATCATTTTCATCCTGATTCATGGTCATTCATTCAAAGATACAGAATGTTCCAGTGGTAGAACATTTTCATATTTGTTTGTATCATGAGCCTCTCACCCACATTCCTGAGAAGCAGCCATATAAACACACAGGTAACAATCCTGTGTGAAGTGGCCACACCTGCCAGCTCCTGCCTTTGATCTATATAGAATGCTGTCCTATAGACCAGACAGCACCCATAAAACATCTGAACTAATTCTTTCCTGTTTCCTAGTTTTTGTTAGGCCTAATCTTTGAATGTCAGGTTTCTAAGACAAACATGCAAGCATTACATAAAAACACAAATACAGTGTGTCCACATGTGAATTATTCTTTCTCAGTAATGGTAGTGCTGTTTTTCAAGGCAAGGTTGGGCTGATCTTCCCTGTAGCTGGGGAACTGCAGAAGCACCCTGAGTTGCTGTGCCCCTAAGTACACAACAGTCAGCCCAAGCCCCTTTGTGTGTGAATTTCCAATTGTTAGAACATGGATTCCAGGAGGGCCGTAGCACTCAGAGAGCAAGGGCCCCGTGGGGCTTTCCTGAAACACTCTTCTGGCGTCTTCTACGAATCCCCACTAACCTCAGAATGGTACCCAAGCTCACTCAAGGTTGACCTTTAATCTACTTTCCTTTTTTTAACCTCAGAGCTCACCTTCCCCTCCCTGTTCCCAATCCCCTTCACCAAAA